GAGACAAATGTAAAAAATTGTTACAAAAAAATTATTTTTAACCACTATTTTACTAGAATTTATTTTCAATAAGACTTAATTAAAATTAAATTTAACTATTAGCATTTATTAGTAATTTATCTAAAATATAATTGATTATTTTTTTAATAGTTGATTGTCTAATTTACGTAATTATCTTGATATTGATATTTGGAAAGTGTGAATGTTAGGTCAATTGACCCCCCAAAAAAAGGAGTGAGCACTTTAGATAAGCATTACGTGTCTTACTTTTATTCCTCCATTTTTATCTGCCATTGGATATTAGGAGGAAGCTGCACGAAAACAGCCATGCTAGACCGAGAGAGGAAAGAGATGAGAAGGAAAGAAAGCCTAAATTTGGTTAGGATGAAAATGACAACGAGTGAAGGAAATGATTTTTTATATATATATATTTTTTTAAATTTTTTTAGTATGAAAATGGTGAAAATTATAAATAAAAAAAAAGTTTATTTTTTCTATACAATTCATGATACTATATGGTAATTAAGCTTTTAGTTACTTGTAAAAAACACTTGAAAGTTTAAATTTAATAAAAGTAATTACTTATAATTAGAATTCTTAATTTTGCTTCTTTCGGTGTTAATTTTTGACCTCACAATCAAACAAATCTCTCTGCTATGATCTAGAGAAATTAGTTGGAGAGCACGCAACAGAATAGATTAAGTCAAACACCTGCACACAAGAAAATAAGAAATATCATGGTGGCTCGTCTACCCGGGGGTATTTCGACGGTCAAATCAGCAAACCTTTCTCTCAAAGATATTGGCACAAGTAAAACAATTATCAATTAAAATGTACCTTAGATCCATAGGGTGTGTTAATTTTATAGTCAGTTCCCGCATCCTCTAGAAATCTTACTTCATGAGACTTTATCATTTACAAAGATATCACTTATCCAAGACTCTTCGCATTTAGATTAGGATCAACACAATACCTCGGCATCCCTAGTTTCCCCACATGGCAACTCGGTACCCCTAAGTTCCCCATGTGGCACCTCGGCCAACAACCTAAACAACGTGAACAACCCTAAAAATATATCCCCACAATAATTAAATTCATAGAAGAAATATATTTTATTTTTTTAGACGCTTTTTGAAAAAAAGAAAAAGAAAAAAAAAAGAGAGAAGACAAATTACCCTTGTAATCCCAGTAGTTTGTTTGTGTCAATTTGATTATTGTAATTCTAATTGTATCAATTTTTTCCTTTAATCTTTTACATTGTGCCAATTCGTCCAATTGATAACAACCTTTAAAAAATTGAATTGAAAACAAAGGACAAAATAATTTTCTTTACTCTTGTCAAAGTGATCAAAAAGTTGTGGTCTAATTTAAAATGGCCCATTAAATTTTGAATGAACCATTTTGTTTTTTATTTTAATCTAATTTCTTAGACGTTTCAAAATTGTATAAATCAAATTGATACAAGAAAAAAATTACAGGGGTAACAAGTATATTTTGTCCAAAAAAAAAAAATTCAATTTTGGATAAATTATGCAAATGGTCCCTATAGTTTATACGATGTGTCAATTTGGTCCCTGTTGTTTCAATTTGCTCGAGTTTTCTCCTTAATTTAATGGATTGTGTTATTTTAATCTAATACATAACAGTTGTTAAGTTTGATGGACGGAAAGTCTACACTATGTGTCAATTTGGTCCCTATTGTTTTAATTTGTTCGATTTTGATGAGGACCAAATTGACACATTGTGTAAATTATATGGATCAAATTGACACATAGTTTGACTTTCCGTTGACCAAACTTAACAGCCGTTATTTATTGGACTAAAATGACACAATCCATTAAATTAAGGGGCAAAATCAAGCAAATTAAAACAATAAAAATCAAATTGACTCATCGTATAAACTATAAGGATTATTTCAATTTCTTTCCAATTTCATTGAAGCACAAGCACAGTACGTACTAAAAACATAAATGGTGGGGACGTACAAAATTTTCACATAGAATGGAGTACTTTTCACTATTATTGTCGATTGTGGTCAATTATGACATCTAAACTTTTCAAGGAAAATTAAGAAACTTTTCATTTCATTGTGCCTGTTTGGCACAGTTTATTTTCAACTTAAGTCAACTTATAGTTTAAAATAAGTTATTTTTATGTGTTTGGTATAGTTTAATGGTGTATATTATAGCTTTTTATAAGCTAATTTTTAGCTTTTTCATTGAGTGGGGGAGGAGCTGCTTTTCTATTTCAGCTTAAACGAAAAGCTAAAAATCGAGGGCAAAATTACTTAAATGCCCCTCGTCAATTTCAACTATTATAAAAAATCCAAGTATATAAACTCTATAGCGATTCCGGTTTTGACCCGTTACCTATTGCATTCCAAACTCGGGTTGGTATGATTTAGAATGGTTATTCATGTCTTATCTCCCCTTATCTTGGTTATTGAGTTATAATTGTGTGTTTGGAACAGGTTGGTTACTTGTTTTTTCAAACCTGTGATACCTAGATCTTGGCTCTTCTGCTCGAGCAGGCATTCTTGCGCTCGAGCGGGCTTCACAAATTTTGCTCCCCCGCTCGAGCGACCATTCTTGCTCTCGAGCGGGATTTGTCAACCCTCAGTATTTTTGCAGAACTGCAAATACTGGGAGAGTGTATTGGACGCTCAAGCGTCCAGCCTCACGCTCAAGCGGGGTCCTTCATCTGCAAAACTTCTGGAAGTGCGTATCCCACGCTCGAGCGCCACTTTTCACGCTCGAGCAAAAACTTTGTGTCTAACGGTCGAGCATCACTATCCACGCTCGAGCGGACTGCGTATATAAAAAAAATACTTAAAAAGTATAATATTTGTGAAAATAATCTTCAAAAAATTCACTCAATACCAAAAATACTAAAATTCAATACATTTTTGTATTCTTGTGTATTTATTGATTTTTTAAAATATTTTTTTACAAATATTTTACTTTTTAGATATATCTAAGTAAAGTGCATCTAAAAAAATAAAAAAATTTGTTTAAAATTTTAAAAATATTCACTAAAAACAAAAAAAAAAATGCGAAAAATAAAATTTTTTTTTCCAAAAAATTAAATTCAAAAAATAACCAAACATAGTGAATATTTTTTTTTATAGTTAATATTAAGTATAAAAACTAAAATATTCATTACAAAAGTTTTTAATGTAAAACTTTCATAATTAAACCTGCCAAGTTTGCATGTTTGAAAAGAATTTCATAATAGTATTTTTAAACTACCATTTTCAGGTCATAAAAACAGAGGTTTTTTTAGTTCAAGGCCAGCCTCAAAACAATTTAAAAATATGAGAAAACAAGCATGCTAAACAAGATAACAAAGTAAGTAAATTACCTTTTGAGGCAAAAAGCAATTCTAGGCACCAATCCAAGCTAAAACCACTTGCTAGAGCTCAAATCAAGCCTCAAGGAAGCTCAGCTCAAATAGAAGTAACTTCTATCAAGGAAGTGTATGCAAAAGTGTAGAAAAAATATGCTTCAAGGCACAAAATTGTAAGAGAGTGAGAGAATTTTTGTCTTCAAATTTTTCTAACCTCCCCCCCCACATGCAAGAGAGGGGTCCTACATATAGAAAATACTAAAATCCCCTCACAAAGATCCAACCACACACGTGTTAGAAGATGCATGAACCTGTGCAAACAGCTAGTACAAAATATCACAAAATATTTGCATAAAAGACTGATGGTCGGCCGACCATCAGTGATGGCCAGCAAGGCTTCATTGATGGCCGGCAAGGCACATCAATGGCTAGCAGGCCAAAAGCCATGGCCGGCAGCCTTCAAGGATGGCCAGCAGGCCATCAACAACTTCATGCTGAAAAGACCTAAGCATGGTCCAAAGATGAGACAAAATGGATGCAGGGTTTGGAAAACTCAAACTTATGGCGCTCTGCTGCAGAATTCAAGCGTTCGGTGAGCAATCAAACTCGCCATTGAATGTACCTGCAAGAACATCCAAGTCTTAAAGGGCCGTCAAAAATGGGGTGTCTACACTCCCCTGCCTTGAGCAATGTTAAAGGGAGCATGGCAGCACCAAAGTCTTATGAAACCATATTGGGTAACAAGTAAGAAGTTTTATATAAACTATAAGGACTTCACATTGAAGGTAACAAAGTTGAGCTACAATATACTCACTTGAACACATCTCTTTGCACTTAGAGAGAACATTTCATCTTTTCCGATCACTTACTCTCACGTCGGAAGGGTTATCCGGCCAACTCTGGCTGGGCAGCTCTAACGGTGTTCACTGTTGCAGGGTCTTGATTCTTGGATAGTCCAGTCGGGTGCGGAGCTCTGGTCCACAATCATCTAGTGCGGTATTAGGAACGCACAATTGGTACGGTGAGCGTGGATCATTGATCTCAGAGTTCTGCATCTGATTTCGGCGATGGGAATTAAGGATATTTCACCATCGGCATTGATTCCACAAATAAAGAAGACGAAAAATAAAGGCCTGGCACTGCCGACAGTTCTGGAGGAGTAGATTGGAAACAACAATCGGACTCCAGAATCTATTGAGCATCGACAGCCTTTTGCTGGTGGTTCTTCTTACCTTTTTCTGTCGGAGAAAGATTATAGAGATCGTGTCATTGATTCCATGGGAACGAAAATACAAGAATTGAAAGCACAGTTCAAAAGGATGATGGACGACTCGATAGAGAAGAGGATCGACGCAGAACCCTCTCGTCTGTGCCGTAGAAGCCTATCCCTGGAACCATAGTGAGGAAGGTCACCAGAAACGAATCTTGGCAACAAAGTCAGCCAATCCCGGTGTAAAGTGAAGCAGCGAGCAGCCACACTCGTAGTTCACGCCAGAGAAAAGCTAAGAGGCAAAAAACGGCCAGCCAGCATACAAAGTATCCTCCTTAGGATCTCCGTATTTGGTTGGTCGGGAATAGACAAAACAAGCAACGACGAGAGACCCCCCAGCCATTATCAGTAGATGATGTCCTGATGGAGCCGACATGAGGCACTAATGTGCAAAGTCTTTCCATCCAGCCTGGGAGAATTCGGACTCCGATGGTTCAATCGTCTCCTTGCTGAATCGATTTACAACTGGAAGCAACTTTCTGAAGAGTTCTTGGCTAGATTTGTTTCTAACGCCAAAATCTCGAAAGAACCAGACACCTTGTTCGGTCTCCGAAAGGAACAGGAGGAAACATTGCGTAATTATGTAAGAAAGTATCAGAAAGAGTATAATGATTTGAAGGAAAATGTTTGCAACGAACAGATGGTTGTAATGTTTTTTAAACATGGACTGCGTCCGGAAAGCAAGTTGAGACAATCACTTACCAAACGCCCAGCCACAGTACTAAAGGACTTACGTGCCAGGATTGAGCAGTACGCTCGCCTTAAAGATGATCAGATCCTCATCGAGGTGGCATCGGCCGAACAAACAACTCTGGAAAATAGAAGAAAAGCAGATCGAGGGGAACCCCGAGGAGTCGTTGTGAATGAAGCGGACAAGTCTAAATCCCACGAAGCAGTTGTCACAGTCTTCAAGGAACCTATCTATCGTATTATGGAAAAAATCAAGAGAGAACCGTTCTTTACTTGGCCACCAAAGATGTTAGGGGATCCAGTTTGGCGCAATCAAAAGCTTAGATGTACCTATCACCAGGACCGGAGGCATATGACTCAGAACTGCAGAGCTTTGAAACAACACCTTGAGGATTTGGTAGTTGTTGGGCATCTCCAAGAGTACATCGATCCAGACAAAGTGGTAATCGAGCAGGGGAATCTCCCGCTAGAACCAAATACAGAGCATCCACTTTGACTGGTTATCAATGTCATCCATGGCACGGCCAGCCGCGAGTGAGAAAAGATACTCCAGGAGGAAATTACCAAAGCTGTACAGATTCAACAAGTGATGTCAGTTGGTCCAGCACGAAAAAAGATGAGAACAGTACCTAAGTCTCCCTTTTGTACTATTTCATTTACTGAGAAAAATCTAGAAGGTATTCAAAATCCACATACTGCTGCTTTAATTATAACTGTGAGAATTTGGAAATGATTCGACATGAAATGAGTCCTGGTGGACCAGGGTAGTGCCGTAGATGTATTGTACTACGATTTGTTTAGGAAGCTGGGTCTCTCTAAGCAGCACCTCACCCTAGCAGAAGCATCGTTGGTCGGTTTCAATTCTCAACCCGAATGGCCACTTGGCAGGATAGTGCTGCCAGTAGTGGCTGGGACAAAGACCCTTCAAATAGAATTCCTAGTTATTAACACTCCATCTCCTTACAACGCCATCCTTGGCCGGCCTTGGATTCACCAAATGAAAGTAATCCCCTCAACCTACCACCAGCTTATCCATTTCCCAACGGAGCACGAAGTAGAGTAGATCTCGGGGGACCAAGTTGCATCAAAGCATTATTTTATGGTAGCTATAATGGCCAAACAACTTTGTAATTTGGTTCAAACGGTTGAAGTAGTAGAACGGCCTGTCTTGGAAGACGTTGGGAGAACCCTAACTGAGAAGATTGTAGAGAATCTGGAGAAAATTTTGGTAAAAGAGGGTGACCTAGAAAGGTACTTTCTTATCGATACCTCGCTAGGCGCTGATGAAAAACTTCAGTTGTTGGATTTGTTGAGGAAAAATATGGACGTATTCGCGTGGTCAGCATATGATACACCTGGGCTGAATCCAGAATTTGCTTGCTGTAACAACCCCAGCCCTTAATTAACGTTAATTCATGCTTAAGTATGCCTAACAAGTAATTAAGAAGAGATCATGAGTTAATTACATGTGCATTGCATTATTTTTGTGTCTCTATCTGTTCAGTGTAGATAGATTTGTACATGTTTTAGTTTCGAATTGCAAAGTGAAGGCCTTATCGGCATTCGATACAGAAATTGATTTGATTTATATGTTAATTAGAATTTTTAGAATTTTATAATAGGTTCAATTAAAATTCATTTCGGAACAATTAAATAAGATTAATTTAATCCTACTCAATTGCCTATGACTTTAACTAATTAAACACGATCTCTTTATGAGTCCACTCACCTCTTCTTATCCACTTGCATACACCTTTGAGCCTATTCTACAAAAAACGTGAGTGGGAGAGAGAGGGAAGGAGAATTGAAATCAAAAGCAAGAGGAAAGGAGAGTTGCTAGGGAGTTCAAGGAGATTGGGTTGGAACCTTAGAGAATTCACCAATTAGAGCTTCATTGAAAGGTTGAGGTATGAATTCAAAACCTAGACTATGTAATTGCGATGTTAAAACATGAATTCTTGAGGATTATGTTGAGTAATTTAGGATGAACAAAAGAATGAAAGAACATAAATCATATCATGTATGCATGCATGTTTCATAGCATTTTGAAGTTGACTTTCAAGAATTCCCTCATGCATGTCTTGAATTCATCTTAATTTTGAGAAATCATTGAGTTTCATGTTGTTTTGTAGCATTTGATCATGTTTTGAGAAGCTTTGGTTCAAAGAATTGCATGCATGTTATGTTCATGGATTATTCTTGAGTTTCAAGTTGAATTTTGCACAATTGGCAAGTCATTGAGCCATGATTTCTCGAAATGATCTTTAATTCATGCTGCTTTAAGGGTTGTCATGTATTTTCTCAAGTTTTGGCCCAGAAAAGTGAGGTTTGATGCTTTAAAGGTTGAGTTTGAGCTTGAAAATCAAATCTGGAAATTCCAGAAATTTGATTCATGCTCGAGCGGGGGACTTTACGCTCGAGCGTGCACTCTGAGTACGTGCACTTCTGCTCGAGCGACGTGAGTCATGCTCGAGAGTGAAATGCATATACCCAGAAGTTCTTATGTTTTTCAGTCCGCTCAAGCGAGGGAATTCACGCTCAAGCGTAGGTCTAGGTCTCACGCTCGAGCGGGAATCGAGCGTCCGTCGAGCGTGAAAAGCATACAACCAGTACTTTTTCCAAAGTTTACAGTCCTCTTGAGCGGGAAAAGTCACGCTCGAGCGAACCCTCACATCTTGCATGTCCGCTCGAGCGGGGAAAGCCACGCTCGAGCGTGGACCCTATTTTCAGCAAAATTTGAAAAATGTTTTCAAGTGCATTTTTGCATCCTCATTCCATCCTAGGAATTCCTAGGCCATGATTAAGACCCCATAATGAGGATAATAGTGTAGGTACACACCAGAACAAGAAAGGACCAAGTCAACATTTTTGGGTGTGTAATTCGAACCATGTTCGTTTTATAACTATGTAGGTCAAGCGCCACAAGGAAGCTGAATTGCCTACTTGCGACACCTATTGTCTGTGAGTAATAACTTAGTAAAGCTATGTTCAACTTTATGTATTTTCTAAATATGAAGTAAGATCTGTTGAAAGAAATGCCATGTTTTATACTATGAATGATTGTCCGACACTAACAAGCATTTATGATGTTATGCTATGATTCAAGGATGTTGTAAGTGATGTATGCCACGATTCAAGTACGTTATAAGCGACATGATGTTATGATTCAAGTATGCTATAAGTTCCCAGACCGGAGGTTCCTATGGAACTGACAAGCTATCTGTACCCGGCTGGAGGTTCCTAAGTGGAACTGACAAGTATACAAGTTCCCAGTCCGAAGGTCCCTATATAGGACTGACAAGTTATCCTTACTCGGCTGGAGGTTCTTCTATAGAACTGACAAGGAAAATTGAAGTCACTCTGTGTGAGATCTGCTAGTACTGATAAAATGTACACGAAAGATTAAGTATGAACTTTGACTTTTGTTTACATGCTCAGGATAAGAATATGAATGTAAATTGTTTCTTTTGGCTACGATAATGAGACATCATTCATATACCCCTTTACTCAGTTATTATTCACTAGGCCTCCGCTCACTAGTTATTTATTATGTATGTAGGTGAGTAGGTTCATGATCAGGCTTGGGTTGATGCCTGGGGCGTTTTTGTTGGTCAACCACCCTTTGCGCCTCATGAGGAGGTTCTAGTTCAAGTCAAGTTTTTGTGGCCATGTTATGTAAATATGCAAGACTGTTTCTTTTGTTTTATGAGCAAGTTCTCCTTCGTATGCACTTGATAGTGACGTGTAAATACTATACCTATGACGTCACTTGTATGTTTACAAGTTTAAGATTATCAGTCTCATGTATGTCTGCACAGCTCAATGAACTATGTATATTTTACGTATTTACTTTCGCAGCCCCTGACTATATGTTATTAAGCTAAAAGGCCTTCGGTAATCCAAGGATTACTGGCCAGTTACGTCGCTAAACCCATAGGGGTGGGTTCAGGTCGTGACAGAGTGGTATCAAAGCACGAGTTATACCGCATGCACGAGTCCATATGAGCTTGGGATGTCCTAGAATGAAGTAGGGACATATCATTAGCATGTGTGAGTGAGTGGTAATCCTTATGAATATGAGAACCGAATTTGAATCTGAACAAATGAAATTAAAGGAAGTGAATAGGATTATTCCCATGTTAATTATTACCTGGTGTGTATATAGCGGCATGGATAATGCAAGAGGAAATGATATAAGTGAGTCTTCTGAAGCTCGTATGAGTCGAATGGAACAAATTTTAACAGCTTTAACTGAGGCAATGGCACAACAACAGAGGCAACAACCTTTACCTCCTCCGTCTCCGCCGGTGCAAGCTGAATCGGACAACAATGATCTCATAAGTTTAACTCAGAAGTTCTTGAAGATGAAACCACCGACTTTCTTAGAAGGCAATGAACCGCTAAAAGTTGAAACCTGGTTACTTGAAATGGAGAAGCTATTTGAAGTGTTTCTTTGTACAGAAGTCTAGAAAGTTCTCCTAGCCACCTATACTCTGAAAGATAAAGCCCGGAGGTAGTGGTTACTAATCCGAAGCAGTAATGGGAATATGACGTGGGCACAATTTAATACAATCTTCTATGATAAATTTTTTCCCTAATGTTTCAGGGATCGGAAGGTTTCAGAGTTTCAAGAACCTAAGCAGGGTAGAATGTCTGTGGCTGAGTATGAAGCCAAATTCACCGAACTAGTTCGGTTTGCTCCACATATGGTGGATATTGATTACAAGAAAGCGCGAAAATTTGAAGGTGGACTGGATTTAGAAGTGCTTGACCGAGTAGGCGTATTGAAATTGCCTACCTATGTGGAAGTTTTGGATAGAGCAATAATGGCAGAGGCCACAATAGCAGCAATGAATCAAGCCAAAACACCAACAACAGAATGGAAAAGTAAGAGGCCTTGATCTAATTTTCGAAAGGGTCATTCTTTCTCCATGAACAAAAAGCAAAATACTGGATCTTCAAGTAGTTTAAGTCAGAGTAGCGGGTCTGTACCAGTCTGTTCAGAATGTGGAAGGAAGCACAAAGACATATGTCAACATGCTTCAGGTGCATGTTTCCGATGTGGCAAAACCGGTCACATGATTAGAGACTGTCCAATGAGGTTTGACAATGTTAACCACCCAGCAGCAAGTTCAGTAGGATCTGTTCCTGCAACAAGGGCCAATACTAGAACAAATACCAGAGGTAATGCTGGAAATAAGACACTAAAGCAAGGAAGGGTGTTTGCGCTCGTACCTGGAGATGTACAGAATACCGAAATAGTGGTGTCAGATATAATCCCTATCTGTGCTCAAAATGCCTACGTACTGATTAATTCTGGTTCTACACATTCGTTTGTCTCGCATGCGGATGATAACTCAGATGTTCAGAGAGCAGCTCAATCGGACTATGGAAACATATATAGATGATATGGTGGTGAAGAGCAGGCTTGCTACAAACCACCTCACAGATCTAAGGGAAGTTTTTGGCATCTTGAAAACCCATCAACTTCACCTT